CCAACACCTGAACTTCGACTCTGAACTTAATCTGAAGCTTTTGGTTTGCTGCTATAGCTGACCTCTGACCCTGACCATGGTACCCTGGCCTGGCCTCTCCCCACCGCACCCAGGTGTACATTCGCAGCACAGACTTTGACCGGACCCTGGAGAGCGCTCAGGCCAACCTAGCGGGGCTTTTCCCTGAGGCCGCCCCAGGGCGCTCCGAGGCCACCTGGAGGCCGATCCCTGTGCACACGGTGCCCGTCACTGAGGACAAGGTCAGGAGGCTGGACAGGGCCTGGAGGTGGGAGGGATGGAGGGAGACAGGGACCCCAGAGACAGAGAGGGCCAGCAGCTGAGAGAGGAGGCTCGGGGCCTGGATGGGTGGTTCCCGGGAGCCAGAACACCCAGACCTTCCCTGGGGCTGAGCTGTCCTGATGGGGTGAGCCGCCTACCCGACACTGTGCAGCCGGATCTGGGAGAGACGCTGGACCGGAGACAGGGCCCCACAGCCCGACTCCCCCCGCCTGCAGTCGGGCCCCAGTCACGCTGCTGTCCCCGCTGAGCCTCCGTTTTCTCCAGCTGCTGAGGTTCCCTACACGAAGCTGTCCTCGATACCAGGAGCTGCTGAGGGAGGCCACGGAGGCCGCCGAGTACCAGACGGCCCTAGAGGGTTGGACGGTGAGCAGGGCCTGTGTGGTGTGGCAGGATGGGGCGGGGCCGGCGGGGCGGGGTGGGGCTGGCGGGATAGGGCGGGACCTGCAGTGCAGGGCGGGGCCAGTGGAGCGGGGCGGGGCCGGCAGGACCTCGTGGGACCCTCCGGGCTCGGAGGTCTGTCAGGCTCACCCAGCCCAGTCCGGTGCCTCCAGGACTTCTTGACTCACCTGGAGAACTTCACGGGGCTGTCGCTGGTCGGGGAGCCGCTCCGGAGGGCGTGGAAAGTTCTGGACACTCTTATTTGCCAGGTGGGTCCCTGCCTCACCCACCCAGCCAAGTCGTTTATGGCACCTGGGTTCAAATCCCAGCTTTGCCGCTCACTACCTGTGTTCCCGCAGGCAAGTCACTTAACCTTTAGTGCCTCAGTTTCCCCATCTACACAATGGGGATGGCGACACACGTATCAACACCCCCTGGGTTGCTGTTTAGATCAAAACGGGTTAATTCACGTGATGCCTTAGAACAGCGCCTGGCACACAGCGAGGCCTTTCAGTCTGTGCGCTTGCAACTCCAATCCCCCAGTTCCATAAGCGGAAAAGCGCCGGTAACTACGGCTTCGGCGGCAGGAGCTGACCTGAAGCTGCATGACGCTGGTAGTCTTTTCTTACCCCCACTTTACGGGAATGTATGTCTAAGGGGGCTGCCCCAGACCCCACTGGATGTGTTATGAGGTATAAGGTATCCTCACCACTGTACCTTTCTAAAATTCCAAACGTCTGATTCTAGAACAGCTCTGGACCCAAGGATTTTGGAGAAGGTCTTCTGGAATGATGGTCATTCCTATGCTTAATTAATAATCGCTATCGCCCACCCCACCAGACCTAGCCCATGAGGGTCGGGAGAGAGGATTGCAGCTGATGGGGGCAACACAGGAGGGCCTAAGGGGGGCACGAAGAGCTAAGGACGTTGCGGTCACTTTGTCCCCTCCCTCTCTCTCCCCAGCAAGCCCACGGTCTCCCCCTCCCATCCTGGGCCTCCCCGGATGTCCTGCAGACACTAGCTCAGATCTCGGCTTTGGATATTGGGGCACACGTGGGCCCACCCGGGGCAGCAGAGAAGGCCCAGCTGTCTGGGGGTGAGGTGTGGAGCTGGGAGGCTGGGAGGCTGGGAGGCTGAGGCGCCTTCCTCTGGGAAGTTCTTAGCACTCTGTCTCGCCCTGTCAGGAATCCTGCTGGATGCCATTCTTGTCAATTTCTCTCGGGTGCAGCAGTTAGGGCTGCCCCTCAAGATGGTCATGTATTCGGCTGTGAGTCTTTGGGAAGGGAGGCAGTGCCACGTGGGCACAGGGATGGGAGGGGCACAGGGATGGGAGGGGCACAGGGATGGAACCTCAGCCTGATGCCTTGAGTAACTCTTATCTCCAAACCATATTCTTGGACCATATCACTAGAGGCATGGAATCTGGAAGGAGGGAGGTGATGGTGTTATGGGAAAGAATTCAGTTTTTCTTCAAGGACTGGCTTTTTAACTGAGCTGTCATCATACTTCGTGTCTAGTTAACCAATCTTTATTACGTGACCACCTGTAACTGGTGGGGCTGCCTCCAGGGTGAGCAGGTTTGGGGGGACTGGTTCTAAGGGGTCTGAGGGACATCTGGGAGGTAGCTGGATGCACAAGCTCAGGAGAGAGGAGACATCTGGAGGAGCCCCGAGTCAGCCCTGGATCCGCCTGCAGCACGACAGCACTCTCCTGGCTCTCCAGGCGGCCCTGGGCCTCTATGATGGGCACACACCGCCTTATGCCGCCTGCCTCGGCTTTGAGTTCCGGAGGCGCCTTGGGGACCCGGATGACGACGCAGGGTGAGGAGGGGGTGGTACCCGGGAATGGGCAGGCCAGAACTCTCAGGAGGAGCGATGCGGTGCCAGGTAGAGGGCATGGCCCAGGCACAGGCTCCGAGGGGAATTTGCTGGGGACGGTATCGGGAAGGAGTCAGGAGCCCAGTTCTCCACCCAGCTGCTCTCCTCCAGATATCAGGTCAGCAGTAGGGAAGGCAGGGAGGGGCCTGGGTACCACCACCTCCTCTCTCCCTCCAGGAATGTCACCGTCTCCCTCTTCTACCGCAACGACTCTGCTGGCTTACCCTTGACCCTCAGCCTCCCCGGGTGCCCGGCGGCCTGCCCCTTAGGCCGCTTCCGCCAGCTGACGGCCCCCGCCCGGCCTCCGGCTCACGGGGTCCCCTGCCGTGGCTTCTACGAGCCCGCCGCCCCCGCAGGTGACGGCCCTCGGTGCTGGGGTGGGAGGGGGGCGGCTCAGGTCTGGACACTCACCCCCACCCCACGTTCTCCCCGCAGCCACCGCGGTGCCTCTGCTGGCTGGTGCCGTGGCTGTGCTGGCAGCCCTCAGCACGGGGCTGGGCCTGCTGGCCTGCAGAGCCGGCTGCCTGCGGGCCTGGGGGTGCCCCGTGTGAGCCACGGAACCGGCACCGTTTCCCCCGCAGCTGACACTGGATCCCAACACAGCTGCTCACCTGCTGCTCTGGCTTCTGTGACTTACTGTGCGCGCCGGGGGACGCAGGGAGGGCTCCCAGGCCAAGTCACAAGCTGTCCTATGTATGTGTGGGCTTAAGCGTGCATGTGTTAACACACGTGCACACACGTGTGGATGTCTATTCACGCATATGCTCCTGCACGGATCTGTGTACACACATATTCGACGTACACACACATGCTTACGTGCTCCTTTGCATGTGTGGGTGATACGTGCACCAGTGTCTATGTGCAGGTTTCTATACACGCCTGGGAACGCGTGGTGTACGTGCGGGAACCTCTATTTGTAGGTGCAGCACACATGATGTGTGCGAGCCTGCAGGGTGACCTCCTCCCCACCACGGGTCATGCACTGTCGGGGTCCAGCTCACTCAGCCCTGTTTTGGTGCCCGCCTGGTAGTGGGAGAGCTAAGGTCAGGGTTCAGAGCCTGGCCGCACAGCCAGCCTGCTGGGACCAACCTGGAGGCTGACTCCGGGCTAAGCATTCATCTCTGCAGCGCCATCTCCCCTGGCACACACGACTCCTCCATCAGGTTAACTAGCCTCCAAGAAGCCAGTGGCGGGAGGGGGGCAGTGGCATCCCCTCTGGGCTACCTAGCATAGCATTTGCTATACTTACGATTTGCAGGGGGCGGGATCCCGGGATCCCACCCAAGTACTGTCCAGTATGGTTGCCACCGGCTGCCACGTGGCTGTTTGAATTCACATTGTGTAAGTAAATAAAATGTGAAATTCAGGTCCCAGTCGTACTAGCCAGTCCCAGCACTCATTAGCCACACGTGGCAGGTGGCTGCCCTAACGGGCGGCGCAGGCAGGGAGCTTCCACAGGACAGCCCTGAACGTAAGGAAAGGTAACGCTACCGCACAGCAGGTTCACATGGTGCTGCTCACAGACCAGGCCGTCCCAGGCCTGTACTTGCGCTGCTGCATTTAGCCCTGCAACCCAGGAGGCGGCTCTGCCCTCTCCACACGCCAAACACCAGGCAACAGTCTGGGGCGCCAATGATCCTGTCTGCATCATCAGGCAAACGTGTCAACACCCCACTAGGCTGTCGGTGAGCAGCCTGGTGTGCAGTGGGTGCTCTGTAACCGCCACTGGGTGCCTGTCAGATGGGGGAGGCTTGGAGAATCAGAGGTGGGGCTGGGCAGCCAGACACGAGAACCACTCCCAGCTGCCAGAACACCATGGGCATGGGAGGGAAAGGGCAGGGGTCAGCAGCCCCATCCTCACACGTGTGGACAAGCCCGGCTCCACCCACCTCCCTGCCCCACCTGCCCTGGGCCCCAAGGGAGCCTCTTGTCATGAGCACGCGGCCCACCACTGCCCCTGCTGGTACTGGACTGTCACAGGGCCTCAGGGAAGGCCTAGGAATGCCCTCTGCACTTCACTTCTTGGTCCTGCTTGGGGGGCGGGGCTGGAATTGCAGTGGTGCGGCCTCTTGCTTCCAGATGCATGTTAGACGCAAAGCTCCAGCCGCCCCCGCAGCTGTGAGCCTAGACCCCTCCTCAGCAGACTGCGGGGAGGGTCATGGAGGTGGCGGGGCCTCACTAGGGCTGCCATGCAACTCCCTCCATCCTCATCCGGGGAGGGTTCTGGCTCCAGCTCCACACCTGGACCCAGTCAGACGCCGCAGCTCACACGCAGTGACGTGCAGGCTACTTAATGGGTGCCTGGTACTGCCTGCCAGGACTGTCCATCCTCACAGCTGGGATTCTTGGCCCCAGCATCCCTTGCCCAAAGGTACCAGCCATACACACAGCTACAGAAACTGGAAGGGACTGGCCACCCCCTTCGCAGGCAAGCAAAGCGCAAAATTCAAGTTTAAAAGAGAAAGGCATTGCAAAACAAACTTAATAGAAAAACCTTGGCAAAAGGGGAAACGAGCAACCATAAAACCCAAGTGCTGTATGAAGTTAACAAGTAAAAATATTGCATTAAAAAAAGGCTTAAGAGAAAGGGTACAAGCTTCAAGGTGCTTTCATGGCGTGGGCTGCGGGGTCTCCCGCTTGGCCTGTAGTGCTTCAGAAGCCCATGTGACACAGCGGCGGGGGCCCACCCACCATGCCCATCAGGCCAAAGTGTAACAGACTGAAACGTAACACACTGTCTGGCATCCAGCAACAGCAGCTGTCAGCCAGCTGCCTGTTCTCCACCAGCTCCGGCTGGTGACGCCCACGGGGTGGGCTGGGGGCAAGGACACCCCTCTTTGGGGCTCCTTGAACACCGGCTGGAGCCAACCAAGGCTTTGCGTCTCCCCTACGATGTCCTGCTCCTTGCCTCCTTGCCCCGGGAGGCCTAGTCGTGGCGCACGGGTGGCTCCGCCCCACAGGCTTGGTCCGAACGGAGGGCACGCGTCGCGGGTGTGGCTGCGCCTGGCCTCTTGGATGTACAGCTCCAGGACCTTGGTGGGCTGCCTGTCCACCCGCTCCTTGGGCATGCCGTGGCTCAGCAGCCAGCCCATGAGGTCGTTGCGCGTCGGGTTGGGCCCCAGCATGAGCCTGGCGCGGCCCGGCTGGCTCTGGTGCCAGAGCAGGCCCACGTCGGCAACGGTCTGCCATCACAGCCTCCAGCACCGTCACGCCCTTGACCAGCAGGCCGACCAGTGCAGCTCGGAGGGTGCGGCCGCCCACAGGCGCCGCTGCAGGCCCTGCGTGAAGGGCACGTCCTTGGGCACCAGCCGCTTGGGCTTGGGGAGCGGCGGCAGCGGCTCGCGGTAGATCCAGTCGAGCATGCCCAGCTCTCGCACCAGCTGGATGCCCTCCTCCATGGTGGTCCAGGGTCGGAAGGGCAGCTCGGTGCCCTCCAAGTGCAGGAAGGACTCCCAGCGCTGGCGCCAGGCCAGCAGCGTCTTGCCTTCACCCCGCAGGGCCTTGCAGCAGTAGCTGAAGACGGGCATTGCCGGTCAGGTCGCCCAGCATCACCAACTCCCTGGAATCCAGGGCCAGGGCCAGGCCGCCCTGGTCATACACCCGCAGGATCCAGGTGCTCATGAGCTCGTTGGGGTTCTGCCGGAAGCGCCGGGCGATGGCCAGGAGCCCGGCGTGTGTGTAGTAGCGGTCGCCCTGCCCCGCCATGGCCACGGGAGCTGCAGGAAGGGCACAGAGGGGCATTGGGCGGGGAAACAGTCACAAGCCCCTAGCCTCTCCCCACAGTGGGGAGCCCCTCAGACCCCCAGGTGTCAAAGGTCCTGGGGGGGCACTGTGTCCTCACAGGAGATCAGAGCCCAGTGCTGGACATCATGGGGACCCCAAGCGTGGCCCCTTCAGGAGCCCTCAAACTGGATGTCTCCCCGCAAACCCCACCCCAAGCCACTCCTGTACCAGCTTCCCCTTACACCACCCACTGCGCTCCCATCACGGGGTTACTGTGAAGATTAAAGGAATTTAGTGCTTAGGACTGTGCCTGGTTTAAAGTTAAGTGTTCAGCCTTTGCCTGGACATATACCATTACCATAATCTCTCCACTTTGTGACTGTAAATTTAATATAATTATGGTATTAATAAGAACTTGTTCTCACCGAGAGGCCTGGTGGAACTGCTGGCCTCCTGGAGGAACTGCCTGCAGACAGGGAGGGGGGAAGAGCAGGCTGGTGGGGTGCAGGGCAACCACGATCCCCATCCATCTGTCCCCAGAGCCAGGGACCCTTCCCACCCCCGGGGGTCAAAGGTCCCCTGTGCTGGACATCACAGGGGTCACCAAGCACAGCCCCTTCAGGCACCAACTGAGCACATCTCACTGCAAACCATGCCCCCCCCACCGCGGGCTGGCCTGTTTCTCATCCCCGCCCCTCCCGCAGCCACCTCCTCTAACACGCCCCACCCCCATCTCTGCAGCGGATGCCACAGAGCTCAAGGCAGCACTCGGGGGCGGGCGGGGTGGGGTGGGGGCGCAAGGCTGGCGCTCAGTGATCCCGGTGATCCCCAGCAGTACCAGCTGAGGCATCTCTACAAGCCCAGGAGGGGCTGGGCCCTTGCTGGGGGGGGTGGCCCACAGCACACACACCAGGGCGCCCACCCCTCAGCCCGATCCGCGCAGACAAATCACGCCCTAAGGTCAAAAGTGGCAGCACCGGGGATCAAAACCAACCTCGCTGGTCCTGTATCAACTGTAGGGAAGAAGGGGGGGTACAGAGAAAGCCCCCATCACCCTGCTGTACCCGAACATGGATGGAGGCTGCAGAAATAAGCCCCCTCCCCACCACAAGGAGACGAGTGTGGGCAAACCACAACCTCTATGTGCCTCCACCTCACCTGTGAAACACGGACAAAACTGCACCCATTTCAAGGAATGGGGTTATTGTGATGATTAACTGACTCTAGTGCTTAGGAATGCGGCCTGGCTCAGACTAAGTGCTCAGCACCTGTCCTTATGTTAATATTACCATACTCTATAAATTGTATTAACAATAAATTTATAATATAATAAGTTTAATATGATTATTACAGCATTAATAGTAAGGGGAGTCTGTTCTTACCGAGGGCTGCTGAACTCCTGGGGGAACCACCTGCAGACAGGAAGGGATGGGGGGATGGAGAGGTTATAGGGTGCAGGGCAACTATGGCCCCCATCCGTCCCTCCCCAGAAACGGGACCCCCCCACTCAGACCCCCGGGTGTCAAAGGTCCCGGGGGGCACTGTGTCCTCAACAGAGATCAGAGCCCAGTGCTGGACATCATGGGGGTCCCAGTGTCCTCAAACCCCACACCCCAACTCCGCTGCCCCCGAACTGGGCAATGCAGAATAGAACATTTCCACCTTGCCAGTTCTGCTGGCCAGCAGTGCCTCAGACATCGACAGATGTTACACATCCCTTAGGGCTTCCCTGTCCTGCTGTCAGCGCTCCCTCTTCTCACCCCTCACGTATCGCTGCCCAAGTGACACTCTCTCTACTCCACATTATCCCAGAAGTTCCCTCAGCCCACAGCAAACCTTCAGAGCTCTGCAGAGGACACCTCAGATGAAGAGAACAGCCCCCCAGAAAGATGCTCAGATGGTCTGCATTCTGAGCTAACCCTTCACAGGACGCAGCTCCACGCCCAAGGTACCTGTTGGCCAGAATCTAAACCTCTAAGAACCCCACGGGCTACACTTTCAGTTCTCCACATTATGTATTTAGAAAGTAATCTAAATACAGGGGAAGACATACCTGTATCAGTATCAAGTCATCCTTATTAATGGGAATATAGATTTAGGCTGAGACCTCACTGAACAGAGGAAAAAACCCTCCTAGAGCTGGGAACACCTGTTCCTTCTTGGGTAACACACGTCCCCATGCCCATTTGATGGTTTACTTAGCTCTCGGAAACATCTGTGAAACATTCTCCAATGTGAAACATTTAGGAAACATTCTCCAGATATACCATGTTCTCTGACAACAAGTATTGTATAAATTGAGAGTAACCTTAACAACTCTATCAGTTTACATATACATGATGCATGGGAAGCTGCCTAATCTTTGCTGAAAGGTACACTGTATTTAGTCTACAAACCACCCCCACTGCCCTGCAGTGAGTGATAATGCTTCGAGCCCTTCTGTTTCTTTTCTTCTGCCGAGTTTGAAAATTAGATTTCTGATTAGTCCTTTTCCCGGAAACCCCCAAACATACATTGGGCCCTCCATATCCACGGGGCCCTGGAACCACTCCCGACGGACACCAAAAAGTGACTAAATATTTCCCTCTTCTACAGCCCATATATCCCATCATATTCAACCCTCACCTTTGATGTGCTGTGCCCACTCTACAGACACAGAAACTGAGGCTCAGGAGACCAAGCACTTGAGTAACATCCCTAAGCCCAAGAACAGCAGAGCTGGGATCTGCATGATTGCTGGCATATAAAATTAGGTCCCAGAGATATCTGATGTGAAGTCACCCCAAGTGAGGGTGAGATATTTTAGACCTGGGTGGGTGAGGGACTGGGAGCAAGGGTTCTTACCAAGGTGGGTGGGCCCTCAGCTTGAAGACACACCTGTAACACAGGAAGGATCTGGTGAGGGTAGGGGAAGAAACAGTCTGGGGGTCCAAAGAACATCAAAACCAGGGCCCCTCAGACCCCCAGGTGTCAAAGGTCCTGGAGGGCACTGTGTCCTCAGGGGTGATCGGAGCCCAGTGCTAGACATCATGGGAGCTCCAGTCCCTCTGCAACCAGGTCCCAAGGCCACTCACCTTCAGGGACAGAGGCCAAGCAAGCTAACAGTGCTTAGAGACTGGAAAACACAAAATCCATCGGACGTACAAATGCCCACAGCCTTCCCTGTGGTGACATCAAAATGCCCTCACCTCCCCAGTGTCACTCCCCAGTCCCCACAAGGGACTGTCCTCAAACCCATTACATGGAGAGAACCTGCTAACCCCCTTGCCTAGTTTTGCAGATTTCCAGCATTGGCTATACCTGCTACTGACCCTAAACAATTAAAGCTAAGATGCAAATCCCTTGAAACTGTTGGGGTAAATGAAGAGGAAAAGAGAAACCTAAAATACAAGCAGCGTAAGCAATGACCAGAGACCCTTAAACACGACCATTTTTGAACAAATCAACCGTGGAAGACATTTTGGAGATGACTCGGGAACTATGGACACAGAGCAGATAGGAGATGGCCTCATTAAGGAATTATCTCACTGAGGACGACAACAGCAGTGTCATTAAGTAGAAAAATGTTACTTTAGAGACACAGTGTTAACTGTTTTGGATGAACCAAGAAATTTACTTTCAAACCGTGAAGGACACAAAAGTAAACATGGGGAAATGTTCTGTCAAACATGTCTGTTTCCCTGCATGTTTGAGGATTTTAACAATTAAAAGTAAAAAAAAAAAAAAAAAAAAGCGCGAAAAAGGAATACACGGGACAATGGCAAAAGGGGGCGCGCTCCAATGATGAATGGATGAATATCCTTCCACTTGTGATATGGCAACTATTAGGATAAAGTCAACGGTTTTCTAGATGGTTGACTGAACGGTGAAACTCAGCTAGAGGATTCTTGCTGGGCTGTGGTGGGGAGAGAAACTCAGCTAGCTGCTCCTGGGCTGGATCTCCTTAGCAGGGGCGTAGTATTCCTCGGGAGTCAGGGAAACGATGTCCAAAAAAGTCCGGTTAGCCCAGAACTAACGTTTAACACAAAACTCTGATGTTCTGAGTGATCACGAAACTGATATTTAAGTGACCGTGTCAGAATGATTCCTGAAAGTGAACAAAGGCCCCATTTGCTTTCTCCTAAAACTACTCCTATCTGGTTCTCAAACACAACCCAGTAATTCACTTAGAGACCCCACTCGCACTTCTTCCTCAGGAACCCTTGAGATTCTGTCTCTACCTGCCCCATAGTCTCTGTTCTACGTTGCACAAAAACGCCAGCCACGTGAAATAGGAATACACAAGAACGATTTCCCAAGGAAAGTACGTGTAGCTAGCACAGGTGTGGAAAACCTCAGAAAGAAAAGCTCAAGGTCACAAGCCACCCCCACCCCGAAATGGACAAAATGGCGGAGCCCTGCGACGTGGGCAACAGAAATGGCGCAGGTGCAGACAAAGGAGGACTACTTCTGGTGTCCCCAGTTCGCTTCGGCGGGAGTATTCCTCTCCCACCCCCCGAGAACCCCCAAAGAGCCACCACCCTCTCCGGTCGCCACTGCCCGCCCCGCAGAGAGCACTCAGGCTCGCCTCGGAGCGCGGGTGCCAGACCCTTACAAAGGCCCTGACCCCGTCCACGCCACAGCGTGGCCGTCCCCGCAGCAGCCCCGGGCACACACGACACGCGCGACCCAGGTCCCAACGCACGCCCTCCCGCGAAAAAAAAAAAGGAGCCAAAATGCAAAGAACTCTCACCCAACCCTCACTTTCTCCACCGCGTGTGCGAGCTGCTACACCTTCCGCTTTATTGCGCGCGCCGCTCGCGCGTCCCGCCCCCCGGCCCCAGGTCGGGCTCCGCCCCGAGGCATCCAGCATATTCACCGGTGTCGGAAACCCCACTTTGGTGCTTGGGGAAGGAAATACTGCCTGTTTCCTCCAGAATACTTCCGAACAGGCGATGATACATTGTCCCTGGAGGCGGAGGAAAAGAGAGCAAGGAAATATTGGGGCCCTTTTTCCTATCATGAGAGTCAGGCAATTCTGTGAACAGCACAAGAGGCGGGCGGTGAAGGGGAAGGACCCCAAGTGTGGGAGGGGCCAGAAGGAATTGCCAGCGCGGCAGTGGCGTGAGCCATGGCTGCAGGGGCGGGGTCGACTCAGACTCAGTCCCAGGCGCAGGGTGGGAGGCGGGGTCAGTGAGGAGATTGACAAGGGGGCGTTCCGGGAAAGGGTCTGCGTGGCGCAGAGTTAGAGGCCGAGCCTGCGCAGTGAGAGGCGGGGCCAGAGGCTGGACTCTGGGGCTGGAGGGCCCGACTCCTGGGTCGAGGGAGGAGGGTATTGGAGGCCCGGACTCGCCTGGAGATCTGAGGAGTGTCTTTCAACTGACATGATTGTAAAAGTTATTTTCAAAGATATTAAATGAAACTTTTCTACTTCAAACCCACTGTCCAGAGTCGCCATTGTCAACAAGTTGGTGTGGACTTTTTACTTTATGATATACACACAGACGTTGTGGGTAAAGATGCTTGTTTATTTTTTAACTCCAGTAGTCTCATAAGTAGTCTCTCCCCATCGTACACAGAGTGACCTCATTCCTTAAGCAATTCCCTTGTGTGACTAGAACACGCTTTGTTTAGCTGGTTCCCCGGGTCACTGGGGTTGTTTTCTTCCTTCTAGTGAGGAGACTCCTCCATGAAGCCTGTGGTCTGAAGTAAGAGACCTAAACTCTGCACGTAAGTGACACATTTCCTTCACTGATTCCTGCTTCCCTCAGAGGAATGCAAAGTCCTCACTGTGGCCCACAAGGCCCAGAGTGACCTGGTCCCTGTTCCCTTTCTCCCCTCATTTCCTTCCTCTCTCTCCCTTGCTCAGGGCTACACTAGCACATTGGCCTCCCTGGTCTTCCTGGAAGCTGCCAAGGACATGTCTACCCCAGGACCTTCGCATTTGCTGATTCCTCTGCCTGGAACTCTTTCCCCCGATCAATCCCCATAACTCTCTTCCTCTCTTCAGTCCTGTTTCTGCTCAGATGTCACCTTAGCATAGAGCCCTCACCCGTCTGCTCTATACAACAGACCTCTCCTTTCCAGACTGGTCTCCCTTACCCTCTGTTATTTTTCTTCATAGCTCTTATCTCCTAACATATCTATTTGTGGGCATGTTTTTTTTCTTTTTGGCTCCCTGCTGAATTGTCAATTCCTTAAAGACTAGGATTTGTGTCCAGTTGGGTCAGTCCTGTAGACCCCATGTCTGGCACATAGTTGCAGCTCACTTTTTGTTAAAAATGAACACGTTGGAGAGTCTTTTGTGGGAGACAAGAGGAAGAGTTACTGTAACAACACTTAATGAGCACATACCGTGGACTAAACTCTAACTAGATTAAGGTACAATTGGCTTTCTGTATCCACAGTTTCCACATACACGATTTCAACCAACCACGGATCGAAAAAATTGGGGTAAAAAATAGCTCCAGAAAGTTCCCAAAACCGAAACTTGAATTTGCTGTGTGTCCCAGCAACTATTTGCATAGCATTTACATTATATTTATAACTATTTACATAGCAATTACATTGTATTACATATTATAAGTAATCTAGAGATGATTTAAAATGTACAGGAGGATGAGCATAGGTTACATGAAAATACCCTGCAATTTTATGTAGGGGACTTGAGCATTCCCGGATTGCGTTATCCAAGGGGGGGTCCTGGAACCAATTCCCTCCGGATACCGAGGAACAACTGTACTGTCATTATCCTCCAAACCATATGCAAAAATTGGCTACATATAACAGCCTTTAAAATAAATAAATAGAGGGCTTCCCTGGTGGCGCAGTGGTTGAGAGTCCGCCTGCCGATGCAGGGGACCCGGGTTCGTGCCCCGGGCCGGGAAGATCCCACATGCCGCGGAGCGGCTGGGCCCGTGAGCCATGGCCGCTGAGCCTGCGCGTTCGGAGCCTGTGCTCCGCAACGGGAGAGGCCACAACAGTGAGAGGCCCGCGTACCGCAAATAAATAAATAAATAAATAGAGAGGGAATGGGATACTATAGAAAAATAAATGAAGTTAAAAAAAGGAATAGAGCTGAATTGGGCTGGGGAGGAGGAAGGGAGTGGTGGCAGGAGGTGGTGGCAAAGGCAAGAGGTGAAGTGTGGGTGCAAGGAGAATTAACCTCAGGAGGGGCAAATTATCGGGCGTCACAAAAGTGAAGGATGAAGCCCAAAGAGCTTGGAGAGAATCAGCTATTCAACACACATTGATTGAGCACCATCTGTATGCCAGGAACCAGGAGCCAGCCTGTTTGCTGACACCTCCTGTCTCTTTCCCTCCCGAGTCTCTCCCTCCCCTATCCCTGTACCCCAGAGGGCTCAAGGGATGGCCCCAGAGAGGCGTGGCATTTCCAGGGAACACTTATAAGGCACTGAACTTAAAAGAATGTTCTGGGTGAAAAACGCAGATTATTTGAAAATACAGATTATTAATCTGAGTTGGGGGGGTGTTTCAGAGGGGACTGAGGGGGCTGGAGAGCAGGGTTGTCAGGTGCTTGGCAGGGAGCCGTGGGAGCAGGCCTGAGGTGGGGACATTCTCATGTCTTAAGTCCAGATGGCCTGGATCGCCAGGAGAGACCAGAAATTCATGTAGTTCAGATAGGAAAAGAAACCTGGGGGAAGGAAGAGAGCAAAGGGGGTGAGGCGCAGAGTTCACCAGCCCCAGCCTGACCCCAGTCCTTTCTCCAAGCCCAGCTACACCTCCTATCATGTCCCCAAATGCATGTCTAAACCCAAACTCAGCCCCAGCCCCTACACTGTCCCCAAACCCAGCACCACTCTCTACACTGTCCCCAACCCATTCCCAAATTCAAACCCGACCCCGCCCCTACATCCAGCCCTAGGCCTATCCCCAGTCCCATCTCCCTACTCAACCCAGTCCTCCCAGTCCACAGTCCCCTTCCCATCCCAAACCCTATCCCACCCTGCCCCCATCTGCATCCTCGAACGCATGCCCAAACCCCAAACCCAACCCCACCCCAGCGCAGACCAGTTATCAGGAAGAGGAAGACGCCAATCCACGCCAGGTAGAAGCTGCAGCCCAGCTTGTAGGTCATGCCTTCCTGCAGGAACTCATGGGCCTGCATCAGGTAGAAGAGGATACCCAATATCATGCTGGTTCCTGTGTGAGTACAGGTGTTAGGAGGCCGGCCATCAGGTGCGTGAGGACCCCTGCCCACAGTTGTGTGGCTGCCAGGGTCTTGTTCCTTACTTTCCCACTTGCTTTTACCTCCATGAGCCTCTGCTCACAGGCAGGAAAACAGGCTCCTGACAATGTCTTGGTGGAGGACATTGGGAGGGCAAGACTTGGTGTTTAACCAGGCAATGTTGATGTCTAAAACCACAGGCTTTTGGGCTTCCCTGGTGGCGCAGTGGTTGAGAGTCCGCCTGCCGATGAGGGGACACGGGTTCGTGCCCCGGTCCGGGAAGATCCCACATGCCGCGGAGCGCCTGGGCCCGTGAGCCATGGCCGCTGAGCCTGCGCGTCCGGAGCCTGTGCTCCGCAACGGGAGAGGCCACAACAGAGGCCCACATACCGCAAAAAAAATAAATAAATAAAATAAAACCACAGGCTTTGGAGCTAACAGACTGGAACTCTTGTCCCGTTTCTGTATCCCACCTTAGGGCAGCCTCTTTATCCCACCTTAGGGCAGTCACTCCATCTCTCTGAGCCTCATTCCCCTCATCTGTAAAGTGGGCATAATCGTAGGACCCATCTCCTTGGGCTGTCTTGAGGAGTTATTGAGATTGGCACATTCCCTGGCACACAGTGTGTCCTCAAGAATTGAGATTATTGGGAATTCCCTGCTGGTCCAGTGGTTAGGGCTCCACGCTTCCACTGCAGGGGGCACAGGTTCAATCCCTGGTCGGGGAACTAAGATCGTGCCTGCCGTGCAGTGCAGCCAAAAAAAAAAAAAAAAAAAAAAAAAAGAATTGAGATCATCATCACTATATTGGGTCTTTAATTCTGGGCTTCTGAAGCAGTGGCAAGAAACTTAGTCATTCTGGATATTTTAATTTTATCTTGAAATAACATGAATTAAAGATAATTTGTGAAAAGGAAAAGACTCGTTTTTTCCTCTCTCAGATAATGGAGTACTGGGTAATTTTTTCTTTGTTATTGAAAAATAATATAGGAGGTGTTTTCCATTTCATTAAAAGGGGGAATGGGCAGAAATGTTTCTTTTTTTTTTGGCCATGCCACGCGGCATGCGGGATCTTAGTTCCTCGACCAGGGATCGAACCCGTGCCCCCTGCCCTGGAAGCATGGAGTCTTAACCACTGGACTGCCGCGGAAGTCCCAGAAATGATTTTCTTATAGAAAAAATGTCCTATTTTAAATGACATATAACAGGGGTGTTTTCTACACTTTGTACCTTATGTTTAAACAATTGGGAAGATTTACTAGACAAACTGGATAAATACCATTTACTAACAAGAAAACAGGAAGTTGAGTGTTCTCTCTTCTTGGACTTACTATCACTCTCCAAGAATGTTCTTTTTTTTTTTTTTTTTTTTTTGGTTTGCGGGCCTCTGTTGTGGCCTCTCCCGTTGCGGAGCACAGGCTCCGGACACGCAGGCTCAGCGGCCATGGCTCACGGGCCCAGCCGCTCCGCGGCATGTGGGATCTTCCCGGACCGGGGCACGAACCCGTGTCCCCTCATCGGCAGGCGGACTCTCAACCACTGCGCCACCAGGGAAGCCCAAGAATGTTCTTCTGATGCAACTGAAAGTTGTGAACAATTATTACAAGAGACAGGAACACAATATCCTGCATTTCCAAATTAAATTGCCCCCCTTTTTCTAAAAAGTGTAATTTGGCATGCAAATGAAAAACTAAACTGTTCTAATCAGGCTATCGTTTTTGAGTTATTTGGAAGGGAGTGGGAGTACTATCAAGGTAAGGATGTGTGCAGAGTTAAATAGCTACCATCACGTACTGACATTTTCTAATTCAATCCTCACTACCTCTCACGTGGTAGGAAATTTTATTTTCCCCATCCTACAGATGAGAAAACTGTGGCTCAGAAACATTAAGTAGCTTGAACAAAATCACAGAGCTGGTGCTGGGGGTGAGATAGGATGTGGGATGGGGTTAGAACTGAGCATGGGGTTGAGTATTGGGTAGTTGGAGTCTGAGTGATGGACATTGAGGTTGAGGCATGAGTTTGGGGGATGGGCATGAGTCGTGGTTGGGTATGAGGATGGATTGGAGATGGGTAAGAAGATGGGGTAGGGAATGCGCTGGGTTGAGTGTGAGAGTGAGATCCGCAGGGGATAAGGGTGTGGTTGCAGTTGAGGTTGGGGATTAAGAAGAAGATGGGATCAGAGATGGATTGGGGTTGAGTCTGAGGTTAGATTCATAGTCGATAGGGGTGGGTTGCATTTGGAATGAGCCTCGAGGAGGCTCAGGCGTGGAGTTGGGTGTTGAGGTCTGTAAAGGGGTTGGAGCTGGTGATGGGGATGGTTTGGAGATCGGAAAGAAGATAAAATTGGAATGGGGGTGGGGATGGAGAGGGACGTCACAGAAGGGAACGTGAATGAGTTTGAGATCTGTTGATGATGGAGATGGGAGGTGAAGTGGAGGCTGGTATTGGGGCTGGATTGGAAGTTGATCTTTTTTACTGGGATGGGTTGGAGACTTGGAGGGAGCTAGGCTTGGGCTTGGGGATGAAGGTCAGGATGGGGATGGGATTGAGGTACTCCTTGACTTGGGTCCTCAGGGAGGGATCTCAGTGCCATGCCTGTGAAGAGACTGATGATGACATTGGAGAAGTCCAGCATGGGCATGTTGGAACTGGTGAAGAAGACGATGTTTATGAGGATGATGCAGAGGACGAAGCTGGCAATGCTGGCGATGAGGAGGAAGGCCCAGGCAAGGTCCAACAAATCTGGGGAAGGAAGAGAATCAGGAACGCCAAGATGGGCCCTCAGGCCCCGAGCACGGGGGAGAGGGTCTCCGGGGAGTCTGGGAGTATCCTTAAGCCCTCTCCCTTGAACATTCTTCATCCCCCTTTTAAGAAAATTGAAACTGGGCTCTAGAGAAGGGATCTTGAGGCAGATGCCTTTGGCATTGAGGGTACATCCCCCAGGTCAGTAAGGACAGGTTGTTGGGGTGGGCAGTGACAAGTGGGGTGGGCATTGAGAAACCAACTTGATGTGATGAGGACAGATTCCTTGGGGTGAAAAAGCCTCAGGATAGTGAATAAGATGCTAAGGTTGTGAGGATGGCTAGCACGTGGGTGAGAATGAGCACAGGGCAGTGAGGCTGGTTCTGAGGCGGCGAGGACCCTTCCGGGGAGAAGGGAGGACCAACCCAGGGGAGGCAGAAAGGGGTCTCTGGACCAAAGAGGAAAGAGGAGTCCCAGGAATGGTGAGTATAAGGCAGGCCTTACAAGCATTCTGGTCGTACTCAGGCAGGCAGGAGATGTCAGAGCACCGCACAAAGAAGATGGTATCGATGGGGATGGTCTGGGAGCCAGCAGGGTCCCCAGGGGGAGCCAGCGGCACCTGGAAGTGGATCCAGGGCTGGCCCAGACAGACGAGGCCGATGATTACCAAGCCGGCCAGGCTCAGCGCCAGGCTCAGCCGTCGACTGACCTTCTTGGCCTCATGCAGCAGCCGCCAGCCCCTGGGCAGCTGGGAATGGCTGAGTCTACACGTCTCCAGAAACCTGCAGCAGATTGCCCACCACCAGTGTCAGCACCGAGTCCAGCCAGCCAGCCCAGGTCCAACCGTCAGAGTCCCACCCAGTCTAACTTTCAGACTCTATCTTCCCTATGTCCATTCTCCATTCCCTGTATCCGCCAGGTCCTACCTCTAGGACACGCTCACCCAGATACAGCCTCTAGGCTCCCTGGCCTCCAGGTCTAGCTTCCAGGCCCTGCCACCCCCAGATGCAGTCTCTGGGTTGAATCATAGGTCCAGCCTCTATGCCGAGCCCCACCCAGGGCCAGCCTTCAGGTCCAGCTTTCAAGCCCTGCCACACCTACGTCCAACCTCTAGCCTCATATACTGACCATGCTTCTGGTACCCGACTTTTGCCTGATACCCCTCCCCCAGGACTCTGGCCCCAAATCTGGCCCACCCCGTGGACTCCTGCCTCTCACCTGCCAGGACTGCTCTCAATGGAGCTGCCTGATGGTAAGCTGTGAATGCTGCTTTCTGGAGGATGTTGGTTGGTTTGGGAGCCGTCCGAAGTGTCTTTGATACTCTCCTGGGAGGTCCAGATAATTGATTCGACGCTTTTGACACTGGCCTCGGGGCTGCGAGTAATTGACGGGGGGACATCGACTCTGGCCCGGTTTGGTGACTTGGAGCTTTGAAGACTTGAGTGGAAACTCTGGGTCGTTGGCTGGATACTAATTTGACTATTGTAGGTAACTGATTTTACCTTGGTCAGGGGGGTGCGAGCAGCTAATGAAGGGTTTTGGTTACTGAAGCGGCGAGTTTGGAAAACTGGTGGGACACCTCGGGTATGGAAACAGCGACTGTAGGTGATGGATGGTGTGTCTTGGATACTGACCCGGTGACCCTGAACATTGGGCAGCAGGTCTTGGATACTGACCCGGTGACCCTGAACATTGGGCTGAGAGTCTTGGGGACTGATCCAGGGCCTGAAGGTAGTTGACGAAGGGTCTTGGGCCTCGCCTTGGGTGTTGCTGGGAGCTACTGGAAGGGACTCTGGCTGAGAGCTCTGCTGGCCAGATTGGGACTTCTGGGCCATGTGGAGATGAGGGACAAGGCCAGTCCCCAGATGCACTCAACAACCTTCCAACTGCCTCATCCCCTCTTTCCAGGCATTTCCATGGCCACCTGGAAGTCCACTGGTCTTTCCGGGGTCAGGCTCTGTCCCTTGGGGTTTGAATCTCTCGGTCCCCTCTTCTATGTTCCTTGGTCTCTCCTGCTGTCCTAAGGCAGGCCTCAGGGCTTCAGTCTGGCCTGGCCTGGGGGCAGGGGGCAGGTTCCATGACAGTTGGAGGGGTTCCAGGAGGTTGGGACGTTGGCCATGGACTCATGTTCTACTCTAGCCCCGTGTGAGAGATATGGGGGCTTGGGCTGGGTCAGGGTGGGCTCAGTGTAGGGTCTTGGTGGGGTCAGGACTGGGTCAAGAAGGGGTCATGGCTGGGTCAGAGAGGTAGAGGGAGAAGCATGAATCAGAGCATGAACTCAGGGTGTAGAGGCCCCAAGGTAGTCTGTTGGTGTGTGGGAGGGACCCTGTGAAGTCCAGCGTAGCTGGAGGTGAGTGAGCAGTGCGGGGTCAGGGTCCCTGCCAGCTGGAAGGTTGGCAGATCACAGCCCTTGGTGAATGTCGGGGGCAGCACCCGTGTTCACCCTTTCGGCACCATGGGTCTCGGCCTCGTGAACACACTTTGGAACCTGTGTCATAGCTGTCTGTGTCCTGGGTTGGGATATGTGACAGGGATGGAGATAAGGGGATGATGTTGAGAGTGGAGATGGAGCTGGGCTTTGCGGAATAGGGAGCAGAGGATGAGGTTGGAGACAAAACAAGTTGGTTTGGGTTTAGGCTGGGTAGTGGGTGGGAGAGGAGACGTGCGTTAGCGTTAGAGATGGGAATGGGGCTGTGTTCAGGGCTTAGGACAGGGAGAATAGTGGGGGTGGCACGGGGCTGTGGGTGGTGCTGGGATGGGACAGGAAACAGAGATGGGGATGAAACTGGGATTGCGGTTTGGGTGGGGATGGGAAGATGGCTGTGGGTGGAAGCGGATTGAGAATGGGGTAAAAGGCAAGGTTAGGGTAGGGGTGGGGACGTGGCTGTGTTCGAACATGGAGACTAGGATGCAACAGAGTGATGCGGGCAGAGCCAGGCGTCCAGAACTCTATTCTTTCCCAGCGGATCAAGCCTCTTCCTGGGAGGAGGACCGCAAGTTTGTCCTGCGGGGCTGGTGTCTTGTCTTCAACATCCTGGCGACCCTGATGCTGCTCAGCGTGTTGGATGGGCGTATGGCCTACCTGCAGGGCTCCTACACTGGCTACCTGGGCCTCTGGACCAGCTGCGGGAAGCACAAGTGCGCCAGCCTGGGCCAAGTCACCGGTCAGTAGGAGCCTGGGGTGCTCTGGGGGCGGGGTGGTCTCTGGAGATGATCAGGGGAGAGAATCTCTGGGGGAGTCTCTTCGGGTGTTCTTGGTTGGGGGGGGCGGGGATCTTTAGAATTCTTGAGAGCGTCTCTGGAGATTCTCTGAAGGCCTTAGGAGGGAGCTTCCTGGAGTTATATGTGGGCTTATGAGGAAACAGGACTGTCATTGCTCATGGGAAGATGGGCGTTACACTTGGCCAAAACCCAACCTGCCTCGTGACTAGGTGACTAGACACCATCATTCTCTCTCTCACTCTTTTGAAAATGGTGGTTTCATTTTTTTAAGATAACAAGAGCCTTCCAGCTCCTCCAGAAACATTTTGCCTCCTTGTAGGTCTCCGTGTTTCCAGCGCTTTTGAGCATTGCCACAGAGGCAGCCCAGGTCCTGGAGCCAGAGCTCCGGGTTTGAATCCTGGCTCAGACACGTGGTAGCGGGGTGACCCTGGGCATATTCCTTCACCGCTGTGTGCCTCAGTCTCCTCATTTCTATAATGTCAGTGATAGTGGTACCAATGCATGGGCTGTTTGAGGAATACGTGAGTTAAAACACGTAAAGGAATTAGAAGAGTGCCTGGCACATAGTAAGGGCTACACCCAGATTTCTTCTTATTATTATAAGGATCCGCCACCCCACCAGCCCGTGTACCTACCTTCATTTCAGATCTCACATAAGTGCTCATAAAACTTCCAGAATATTGTGTGGTATTAATCTTATTTATTTATTCTGAGTATCTCTTTCTCTCATGCCTCTCAAACTCAAGCTGGTTTCGAGTTTTGGAAAAGTCTGCAGGCATAAATTGTCCCTGCTTCGGGATGCAGGTGCTCAAAAGGTACCTGTCTCTTGCCATCTCTCCTTGAAGGATTCCTTTGTGTTGGGCCCTCAGGCAAGCTGTGCTCACACAGTGGCAGTGGGGCTCTCAGCAGCTCCCGGGTCCCATTTTTTTCCTGTAAGCAACGATGAAGAAAAGAGAATACGTTTTCTTCTGTGGCCCTCACACAGAGGTCTCAGCATTAGCTCCGATGGGCTCAGATTAACTGCCCTGGGATTTCTCACTCCTCCCTGAATCATTTGCTATGGTCAGGAGGACGTCATGCTGTGTTTGCCTGGGTCTGAATCACATGCTTTTCTTAAAGAGTCAACGGAGGGGGTCATTTCTGTCAGAATCCCAAGGACAGAGGGTGGGCAGAGAGTTCCTCCGGACAATATCAGGTTGCTCTTGCCAGAAGAACGGGACTGGATGCTGGGTGGGCAAAGGCAACTGGGCACAATTTCTCCCTCTGTTTACAGTACTTTCTTTGAGCATGATTCCTCTTGGGGGATATATTCCCAAGAGCAGAATAGCAGTGCTTCCAAAGGGCTGATGAAATCTTGTAAGGCTTTGATATACGCTCCCCATATGGAAGTCAGGATTCTCATGACAAGCAGCAGAAGCCAATTCAAGCTGGTTTAAGCAGAAAATAGATTTACCCAGGATACTGCGGCGCTTATAGACTCTCTGTGAGGCCAGGGAACTGGGCTCCAGGGACTGAGTGATCAGGACTGGCTGACTGGTCACACACACTGGAGCTTGACGTGTGGAACCCAGTCTCTCCAGGCCTGGACTCCCCTGGGGAACCTCTTTCTCTGCTGCCCCAGGACCCTGGAGGTAGTTGCAGCCACCCCGACTAGAACAGATTTCACGGCTATTTCTCCCGGCTGCTGACTCCAAGTTTAGCGTGGCTGTATTTCATTGGTGGAACCTGGTCGCATGCTGAGGTCCTAGCAGTAAGAGGCTGGTTTCCTTGCCGGGAAGTGTGGATACAAACATTGGGAAATTCCCCAAACGTAGGACTGGTGTTCAAAGGTGCTGGGAAGACAAAAAAGAATGGTGAATATTCAGTACATTCCTCATTTGTTCTAAAATGTTAACTCTGTGTGATTTTATTCGATTTTACTTTACTTTATTTTATTTTATTTTACTTTTTGTCTGCACCATGCAGCTTTTGGGATCTTAGTTCCCCCACCAGGGATTGAACCCTGGGCCCTTGGCGGTGAAAGCGCAGAGTCCTAAGCACTGGACCGCCAGGGAATCCCTCTGTGTGATTTAAAATTTTTTCCTTATTTTAAAATTTAAATGACTTTTATTTTATTTGAACAGGTAATATATTTACGTGGTTCAACATTTTAAAAAATGCAAACGTCTCCCTCTCATTTTTGTCCCCCGTCCCTCCCAGTTGCCCTTCCTGGGGGCAACCGATGTCACTAAGCCATTTTAAGCCCTTGTGTGTTCTGCTGGTCATATTCTCTGCATATATGAGAAAATGGCTATGGTTATATACACATCAGAATATATATACATACACACACATATGTAGGTATGTATTTATTTATATATCATTTAAAAAGCACACATGGCAGTATCACAGTTCTCTTTTAAAGATAAATCACCATTATTGAATGCTAAGAATATACAAAGCTTTGTGGTTGGCATAAGAAATAACAAATAGGTTGTGAAGGTTTTAATTATTTTTTAGGTGCAGAAATTTAGGATTTTTATGTAGTCTAAATTCTCCACCTTTGCCGAACATTCAATTACGGTTTTGTGTGTGTGTGTGTGTGTGTGTTTTAGGGTTTGACTGTGATGTTGGTGGGTGGTATTCAGGCAGTACTGAATCCTGTGCTCCTTGCCAGGAGCCTACAGAAGGGACCTGAATTAGTCATAAGTCTTTGGATCACAGGCGGTAGAAACTCTAACTTGAACTAGCTTGAGTGAAGGAATTTACAGGCTCACCTAAGTGAAAAAGTATGGGGGTAGAAACGCTTTCAGACATGGCTGCGTTCAGCGGTCCAAGTGACCGCATCAGACATTGCTGTCTGTCTGTTTCTTGGTTACTTACTCGAGTGGGCTTCATTCTCAAGGCTCCATGTAGTGGCAAGGCAGGATCCAGTCAGGAAAAAACAATCATTCTAGGGGCTTCAGAGGGAAGTAAATATAGGGAATTGGTTTCATGGGTAACAGAAGAGCTGAGAAGCCGAGTAGGAATGGTGAGGCAAATCAGGGATTAGCAACTCAGCAAGCTGCCAGGCCCCTACGCCAGAAGAACAAAGGGAAGAAGTAGTATTACTGGAGCCTGGAAGTTGGAGCCATCTGGAAGGCACAGACTCATGCTGAGATTTGCTTAGAGGTGGCTACAATCACCCAAGAAATGCATCGATGGCTGAAGACACCAACTGAGGCAGAGAGAGAGGAGGATAACTACCCTGGCTTGTCCCATCCCCCTAGAGCCAGTCTTTTGCCAGTGCCTCCCATGAGCCAAACAGAGATAAGTCAGTGAGCAAAGGAGGCTGGGAAATGTAGTCCTTGTAATGTAGAACAGAGAAGGGTGGGGAATGAACCTGAAAGCAGACAGAAGAATGACTGGCAGAACTGCTAACAACTCAGACCTCAGGTCTGGCAGGAAAAATAGTGCAGAAATTTCCTGCAAAAGTCCTGTGTGACTGGCTCACAAGGTACCTACCCCCAAACCAAGCATGGTGACTAGAGCAATGCAACGTACTGACTGTCTTATAACTGGGACTCCAAGTGAGGAACGGCAGGAAGGCGAAATGCATGGTGCGGAGGTAAGCTGCAAACGGCCGTCCCTTCTGACCAAACTACGGAGTGGGCTTGTCTCTGGGATGACAAGAGCCAGGGACTTGAGTGTCATCTCAACTCTCTTTCTCTCCTCCTCTTGTCTGCTTTTTCTTCTTAGTTTTACTCTCAGTTCTCCTGTCACCTAGGAGCTTGGGTCCAAGGCTCAGGCAGCTCCAAGCTCATAATCCTTTTGATCAGAGAAGAAAGAGCTGGTCCCTGACAGCTTCAGTTAGAAAAAGTCCCCGGGAAGAGCTTGATTGGTTGGCTTTGGTCATGTGCCCATGTTTGAGCCAATCACCACTGTCTGGGTCATGGGGCACTGTGATTGGCTCAGCCAGAGTCACATGACTACCTCTGTGGCCCTAGAGGGCAGGGTATGTCATGAAAAACTCTCAACCAGGATTATGTGATTGATCCTGAGAGCACTATTGCTATTTTGTAATATGTGCAGTTTGCCAGAAACAAAGCAAATGGAGTCTTAGCTCATTTGGCTGAAATAGTCTTGCACTGCTCAAAAGTAGGCAAAGTAGGAAAGGGCTGAAAGGGAGAAGCGTAATTCTCAGAAGGAGCCGAAACTCTTGTCATACTGAAATGCAAATTGGATAAATATCAATTTTAAACCGAGTGTGATTACGTCTTTTAGGTACTTTGGTTTTAGAGTATTTGGAAATTTTCTTGTGTGTACATCTGTGTGTGTGCTCTGGGGGATGTCAGGAGGGTGATGTGGAGAATGTCTGTGAGGGGCTCTAGGGTGTGAATGGGGGTGACATTGAGATACCTGGGGAGGTCTGGGGGTGTGAGTGGGGTCATTAGGGAAACTTGGGGTAAGAGTGGGAGAGAAGTAGTGTGACTTGAGAGGTGATTAAAGTGACTAAGAGTACTATTGGGAGTGCCTGGGATTGGAAATAATAGAGATGATTCTGTGGGGTGAACTTGAGGATGTGAGTGGGGGTGACTCAAGGGCCATCTGTGGGGTGACGTTGGAGGTATGTGTGGAGTTGATCATGAGAGTGTCTAGGACTGACTTTGGGGTAAGAGAGGGTGATTTGGCACCACTTTGAGGGTGCAAGTGGGGATGACTTTTTTAAGAATTGAGGTAGTTGACTTATAGTATTATATAAGTGTCAGGTGTACAACACAGTGATTCACAATTTTTAAAGCAAGTGGGTTTTTAAAGACTTTGGGTTAACTTTATGGGTACGCGGGGTGGACTTTGTGAGAGTGGGAGTCATTTTGGGGTTTCAAGGAGGTGACTTTGGCGAGGGCAGTGGGGGTGATTTCGAGGATGTCTGTAGCTAAAGTTTGGGGGTGTCTGTTGGGGATGTTGCTCAGGGCTGTGAGTGGGGATGAGTTGGGAGGATGACCCTGGGCACTTCCCCCTCTCCTTCCAGTTCTCATCCACATGAGCACGGGCTTCATGATCCTGGCCCTGACCCTGTGTCTGGTCCTCCTCCCGGCCATGGGCTTCTCCTTCCGGCCAGTGTTCCGCCGCCTTAACAAGGCGGACCTGATCTTCAGTTCCCTCAGCTTTTGCATCGGTAAGTGTTTCCCTGGGGCAAGGGGTGCCCCTCCCTACCTCAGCATCTCTCCCCTCTCCTCTTTCTGGCTCTGTGTGTCTCAGAGTTTCTGTCCTGCTGGGTGTCTGTCTTTGAATGCCTCTTGGGCTCTCCGTCCCACCCTCCCTGTGTGTTTCTCAGTTCTATATCCTTCTCAGTCGGGGTGAGTGTGCTGGGCCTCTCACTCTCTTCCTGGTTCCCACTCTTTCTTTCCGCCCCCTCCTGGTATCTTTCTGTCTGTCTTGTGTGTGCGTTTGCGCGCGCGCGCCCTTGTCACGGAGGGTGGGAGAGGATGTGTCTCTTTTCTCTTTCTGGGGGCCTCGGGGTCCCTGTCCAGCCTCGTGTCCGTCTCTGGCCCCACCCCCAGTGCAGGGCTCCTGGTTGTCCTCAGCCTGACACTCTTTGTAGCCAACTGCGAGACGCTCCAACCGAGGCCACAGGTATCCTACCTGGTGACCACCTACCTGTGCTGGGGCGCCGGCGCCGTGACGCTGGGGGCCGGTGAGGGCAGGGCCTCGGGAGGGAGGGGCGGGGTCTCGGCAGGGCAGGGGGCGGAACCCGGGGAGAATACCAGGCAGGGCTTCTGGCCAGATTGGGGCGGACCCCCGGGGAGGTCAGCCTCGAGGGACAGGGCGGGGCCTAGGGCGGGGTTCGGAGTCCACCAGCCCATCTGGCCCCCACCCCCAGGAACCCTGAGCTACTTAAACTACGTGGGCATGTGGGGCAAAAGGGGGCCCTCCATGGAGCAGCGGCTGAACCACCGGCGGTGCGTCTCGCAGCAGAGCACCCTGAAGTTCATGTCCGAACAGCAGCGGTCAGACCCAGACTCGAAGAGCACCGAGGAAGAGCCCAGTTCACTTCCTCCCCAAGAACCCCCGTCTAAGCCTCTCTAAGCAATTGCACCCGAGCTTCTCAGGACACTGACGCCTCACCGCCGCCAGGTGCCGGGCCCACCCATTTCATCCTGGCCACGCGCCCGAGACTAGACTTCCCTGGAGGTCCCACTCCCTAAGAACCCCCCGAGAACAGGTGACAAAGCCCCACCCCTCGAGCCAGGGCCCTCCGTTGGCGGCTCGGTTCCCGCTCAGTCCTCACCCTGCCCCCACCCCGGAAGTCCGACACCGCCCCCTCCAGTTCTGCACTCCGTCTGTGCTGTGTGGCCTGTTGGTGTGGCCCCGCCCCCGAGCCTAGCTAGGCCCCGCCCCCAGGTGTCCAGCCCTCGCTGGCCGCGGCCCGAAGCCGCACTTCATCATAGGAATTCCTACCTCTCCGAGGGCCAGCACCGCCCCAGGATGTCCAGTCTTGACCCGGGCCGACACGACACTGCCTAACCTTTGATGTAGCCACGCTCCTCGGCGGAACAGACCCCTCCCCAGGGAGGTGTGGCTTGCAATTATACCCCCCGCCCCTTCCTGGCTTCCCTGCCACAATAAAACGTGGGCCCTATCTCTCAGAGTCCGAGCCTCCGTTTCGTGCTCTCCCCCAGGGCAGAGTGGGGCTCAGAGTTCTTGCCTTGTCCTTTGGGGTCTGAGCCTTTCTCTGCCTCTTTGTCCACACCTGCCTCTGATCCTTCCTTTCCCCTCTGATCATAACTGCACATCTCCCGCCGAGAGAGACCGGGAGGGCTGGGGAGGCCTTAGTCTGGGCCGGATGGGTCCCGAGTTCCCAGGTGTCTAGCGTCTGGAAGGCCAAATGACACCAGGAGTTGATGCATGTTCGATTTTACTGGGGGTAAGGGACAGGGCGGGGGCATTCAGGGGTTGTCAGCCATGGTCTTCTTGATCCAATCCACATACAAAATCACTTTGGTGTAGATGGAGGGCTTATTGGGGGCACCGCACGGGATGTGGCCCCATGACGTGATTCCCTGAAACATACCCTCGCAGATCAGCGGGCCCCCTGAGTCACCCTACAGCACAAGGGGGAGGGGGAGAGTGTGAGAGAGGTTAGCTGGGCCTGGGGGGCTCCAGCACTTGGACCTGGGTGCACAGATCCAGACAGCGACTCCCCATCTCTGGGGAAAGAGACCATTGTCTCCAGAGTCCACTCCCAGAACATCAGCGGGGATTCCAACAGAGGAGACAGTGGCTCGAGTCCTGCCAGTGGGGATGGGACCTCAGGGTCCAGTTTCTTCCCCGGGGTTGGGGGGGGGGGTGGATCCAGGAGGAGGATGGTCCCTGCAGACAGATCGGTGGGGAGGACCCATCTATAGGACACTCCCACCCTCAGGGGTCCTGTCAGATGTCACCTCTCCGGAGAAGCTTTCTCTGACTGGACAGTAAGCTTGTGTTAGAGGAGAGGTGAACTATTAATTATGTGCAGGAGGGAGATACGCAGGATACCGGGATGGGGATACAGGAAGGAAAGGGGGCAGAGAGCTACAGCTGGGAAGCTATGGAGACAGATGCCTGCTTAGCTCTGAGCCCCAGTCCAGAATCTGAGTCCCCTCCCCCAGCACTTCAAGACTCCGGGGGACAGGCTGGCTCACCACGCAGGTGTCCTTGCCGCCCTCCAGGTGTCCAGCACACAGCATGAACTCTGTCACCTTCTCGGAGTGGGCACTGGCACACACCTCATTGGGCAGGACAGTAAGGTCCACACACTGGAGATCATCTGGGTAAATGACTACAGGCCAGGGAGAAACACGGCTGTGGCCAGACCCCACCCCCTAAGCCCTCCTTCCCCAGACTCCGGAGTCCAGGTCCCCAGCCCCCTCCTCCCTTACACCCAGGTGCCTGGGCTCCAGGCTGCACGGTGTGGCCCTGGCATACACTTAGCTGGTTCGATGCTGCCCCAGCCAGAGGCGTAGCAGGTGCTCTCCAGTTGGGGTTCCTTGGTGGGCAGCTCCAGGACCTGCACATCCTCTGTGATCTGGACGGGCCCCTCCAGGCGGAGCAGCATGAGGTCATGGCTGTAGTCCTCCCCTGTGGGGAGGGTGTCGTTCTTCAGGAGGCTCAGGTCGAAATCGGGGTGTGGAAAGTCCTTACTGACATGGGCAAACTGGGCTGTGTCTTCGTCCTCAAACAGGTTGTGGCGACCCAGCCAGAGCTGGTAATTGCTGGTGAAGGAGAGGGTGGAGACGATGAGAATGAGAGAGGAGGCAGAAAGGGAGGGCATGAGGAAGGGTCCAAAATGAGAAAGAGAAACAGGAAGGGGGGGAGAGAGGGAGAGAGAGAGAGAGACCGAGGGAAGATACAGAGTCACAGAAAACAAAGAGACTGCGAGTAAATAGATGAAAGAATGTGACAATGTCACAGACAGAGACAGACTAAAATGGAGTAAAAGAAGAGCTTAGAACAGTAGAGAGGGTGGGAAAGATGGAGGGGAGACAGTGAGATAGAGGGAGCACATAGGAGACAGGAGGAGGAAGAGACAGAGACCGTGAAGAACAGACTAAACAGAGGAAGGGAGGGAAAAGACAGAACGAGGCAGGAGAGTGAGAAACGGACCAAGTGAGGAAGAGAGGAGAAAGGAAGGAGAGAGAATGAGAAATAGAGGCAGAGGAGGCAAAGGGGTGAGAGAGAGAGAGAAAAAACGGAGAAGCACAGGAGGGGGATGGGGATGGGGCGGGGAGGGGGATGGGGAGGGGCGGGGCGGGGCGGGGCGACCAGCTCAGCCGCAGCTGGGGCTGCGAGGCTGGTTCCCCAGCAGGCGGGTGGCCTGGCCCCCAGCCCAAGGTCGGCGTCCCCTTTCTGCCCCAGCTCCCTCTCTCCTCTTCTCCTTCCTCCTCCTTCTTCCTTCCCTCCACTGCCCCCACCCAGTTCCAGCTGACACTAGACCTTCTCTGTGTCCCCTTGGAGTGGATGACTGGCCTGGAGGGAGGGGCTGCCCAGGGATGGATCATCTCTTCCATTTCTCTGGGGTGGAGGTGTGCTCAGTAGTGATGGGAGAGGGAGTGAGGCAGAGACCCAGAGAGACAGAGAGACAGGGCAGAGAGATGGAGGATGAGACATAGGTGACAGAGATAGCGGCAGAGACTTGAGATGGACAGAGAGGGAGAGACACAGAGAAATGGAGACAGAAGAGAGAGGGAGAGAGACACCAATCATAGTCACACAGAGAGACCCACAGCAGAGCCAGTTACCGAGACACACACAGAGATAGGACAGAGGCGGACATAGAAAGAGAGACAACAGGACAGACCCAAGAGACCCAGGCAACCGTGGAGATGGCTTCCCTGGGGTCATCGAGTCCCAGCCCTGTCCCTCTCCTTGTGACCCTGGACCACAACCTCCCCTCTCTGCCTCAGGTCCCCCAGCCTCCCCTGAGGTTATCCGAGGGTTATCCTCTGTGTGCCCCCCCTCCAGACCCCCTGCCCCTACTCACTCGCTCCTGCAGTGAGCAGCTGTGAGCACCCACTGGGGGGCCACCAGGACACCTCCACACTGGAAGCTGCTGAAGCGGTACAGAGCCACCTGCCAGGGCTGGGAATGCTTCCTACACTCATGGCCTCCTATGATCCGGGACTGGATAAGGGGCACAGCGCCTGTGGACGGGGGTGCTGGGTCAGGTCGGGTGGAGTCGGCAATGGGGCTCAGAGACTGGGCTGGTGGAGGGAGCTGAGCTGCGTGATTGGAGGTCCGTGGGGGTAGAGGACCAGAGCTGGGGGTCTGAACGTGGGCCGGGGGTGTTGGGAAGGGCCTGGGATTCCGGAGCCACCCCTGGGCTTGCGGGTCGGTGGCTGGTCCCGGGTGTGGAGGCTATGCTGAGTGCAGAGCTGACCCCCGGGATGAGGGTAGGGAACAGCAAGACAGCATCTGGAGCAGGCATCTGGTGAGGGGGTCGGGAGACTTGGGTTCTCGGACTGTGGGACAGGAGGCTGTGGGTTCTGAGAGGGGAAACCGAGGATAGAGGCCCCAAGAGACGAGGTCAGAGGCTGCAGGGGGAAGGATTTGGGGGATTAAGGGGCTCTGGGGCTGATGAAATGGTTAGGGCTTGGGCTGAGCTTTTGGGGCTTCTGGAAAGAATGCAGATCTGGGCAATTAGGTTAGAGGGGCCAAGAAGAGCATCTGGGGAATTTGGGGGCTCCTGGATTGGGGCTGGGAGATTTGGGAGAATTGGGGGTTCCGGATCAAAGAATGAATGAAAGGATTAGGCTGGGAAAGGGGTCCTGGGGTCTAGGAATGGCATTCTAACAAGAGTGAGGGCCCCGGGACCAGGCTGGGGTCAGACTGCGAGGGAGCTCAGGAGAAGAGAGAGTGGAATATCAGTTATTCTGGGATCGGGTGATTCTCATGGGGTTGGGGTTCATGGTCTGAGGCTACTGGAGGCATCTGGGGTTTTCTTGGGAGCAGTGCCAGGACAGGAATGGATGAGGAGGCATATCAGGGGCCAAACAGCTGTGGGAACACAGAGAGAACTCACTTGATGCGGGGTTTTAGAATCAGATGTTGGGGTACCTAGGGCAGGACAGCTGGGCTGGGAAGGTACGTGTTGGGATCCTGGTGGACGGGTTCCCAGAAGACCAGAGCTGCGCAGGAGGGATTCTGGTTGGTAAAGGGCTGGAGCCTGGGGAAGGATGGAAATTCTCCAAGGAAAGGAGCATGTGATTGTGGGTTCGGGATAATTTTCCTGGGGGGAAAAGGCTGGGGCTGTGGGATGCGGGTTCTGGAGCAAAGAGGTGAGGAAGTGACATTTGCAGAACCCACCCCTGGTACCAGATGGGAGGCCTACCTAGTCACAGACCAGAAAGTCTGTTTTTGAAGAAGCATAGGTGTCTAGTGAAATTTGGGGTCCTGGGGGGATGGCGGGGGACCAGATGTCAGGACTGAAGGAGCTAGTTGAGAGCTGACAGCTGGAGGGGGAAAATCACCAGGGTGTGGTAGGATTTGGGGCCTCAAGGGCCGGACCGCTGGGCCATAGAGAACTAGGGATAGGAGGGAGTGATGAGGGTCCCAGAATCTGATGGGTTTGGGGGGGCTCCTTGGAAGAGAGAGACAGAGATGGCCCAGGATCTGCCCCCTTTAGTAAAGTGGATGGGGGCAGGGATCTGAGCGGGGAAGAGGAGAAACGTCTGATTATTCCCGAGGGAGCAGGGACCTAGTGCGAGCAAGGTGACACTGAGGAGGGGTCAGTTTGGATTTTAGGGTGGGGCTGGGAGAGATAAGAGAGAGCCTGGTGTCCTGGTCTGGGCTAGACTGGGTCGCAGGGGTGCAGGCTGCGGTACCATGTGGGAGGGCAAGGAGTCATGGAGCGGGGCCGGGGGGCAGCATGGGAATCGGGGCCCAACCGCCCTCCCACATCTTCCCACTGTCTCACCAGTCCCTGCCAGGGACAGGGCAAGGCACAGAACCGGGAAGCACATGATGACAGAGGTGTCCAGGGGCAGGCAGGCGGTGAGCTTGGAGCCGGGGAGCCTCCCCGAGGAACCTTTTAAAGCCCTCATTCCCCCGGGGCCCCACCCCTGCCCTGCTGGCACCCAGATATGGCCAAGGCCCTGCCCCTGCTTCCTGGGGGCCGGACAACTCTCTCCCACACCCAGAGCTTGTGGAAGGGGCGGGAGAGCGAACAGCTGCTGCTCTGCAGGCCCTCAGTCGCACTGGAAGCATTCCTGGGGCCTGAGGCCAGACAGGGCAGGGCCTGGCGTTCCTGAGACCTT